CTTTTTTTTTTTTCAGTAGTGAAGTTATATTGCTATCAAAATATGTACAATTCTATTTGGGTGGCCAAGATAGCTTGTTCCAGTGAACAAAAATCTAGCGAAAGACAAAAAAGCATCATCAGGTCAAGAATTTATGCCGTTGGCCCTGTCACAGTCCAGTGTACCCAGTAATGTCAATCACAAAAAATATTCCCCTGTAACGACCGTAACCCATCCCACACACGAATTTAACCCTAACTTTCTTCATTGTTTTGATTCTCAATGTCCTCACAAATAATCCACATCAATTCAGCAGGTTTACATATGCCCGGGGTGGAGCGTCCCTTTGTAATGGCCTTCCCAAATTTTTTGAAAATTTTGATATATTATATATATTTTTAATAATTTTTAAAATAATTTTTTATTAAATAATTAATATAATTAAAAAATAATAAAATAACTTTACAAATTTCATTTAATATTATTCAAATTTTTAAATTTTTTTGATTTTTAAAATTTTTTCACCCATCTTTCTCTCTTTTCGTTTCCGTTCTTATATTGTGAAATTATTAAGAGATAAAGTTTTTATTTAATTTTTTCTATTTATATTATTATTATTTATTTTTTCAATTATATTATATTTACTCATATATTTTAAGCTTCTATAGATTTTCTTTTTTAAGTTTTTACGAATCATCAACTATATTCATTTTTTTTTTGTTATATAAATTATATCTATTATTTGTCATGATTTTTTTTTCTGTTTATGTGAATTTTATTTTTAATAATTTTAATTTTTAAGATTTAAAAAAATTATTATATATGTAATTCTCAAATATAAGTTCTAGTGTTACATTATTAGTTGTTGTTTAAAATTTTACTAATATATTATTTTTTATTAATCCTAATTATATAAGAAAAAATTATCTTAAGTATATGTTTTTAATGTGCTTTGCAATTTAAATTTAGTTGAAAGAAAACTATTGTGAGTATAAGAAGAAATTATTAATTTTGTATATCATATTTAACTATTTATATTTTATATATTATAGTTTAATCTTTAGTATTATAAACTTAAATATAATAAAATGAACATATTAGATGTTGACTACATTAATTTGTTAGTTGTTTATATTGAAAAAGATAAGATTTCAAAATAAAATAAATGATAAGTTTATTACAAATAATTTAGTTGTTTATATTAAAAAAGATATTGCTATCGTCAAACAAAACTTTCTTAAAGCACTATTATAAGTTTTTTTTATTTTTTTATTTACATGTTATATAAAATTATTGTTTATTATAAATCTTTTGATTATTAATGGTTAAGTTCAGTATAATAGTTTTAAAAATTTTAAACTTTTATTTTTCTTAACTTTTGACTCTCTCAATAAAAATTGGCTAACTCCGTTTCTGTATATGCTCGTCTTTGCTAGATTATCAACCACTTTGTTGGTTGATCGAGAAATTTTCTGAATACTCCAGCTAGCAATCTTGGTCTTTAATTCTTCAATCTAAGACATAGTGTCCCTATTGTTTGCCCATGTGAATTTCCCCCTAAACATAGGAAAATCAATGAAACAACTTTCCTCTATGAAATCAACAAAATTCTCCACGGCTCTATCATTGGCTTTTACCCTTACTCTTTCCTCCGCATTTTGTACAATGTTGTAATTACCTCCCACACACCATGTGACATTTTTTTCCTTACATATTTTGCTCAACTCTTCCCATAAAATCCTTTTTTCTGAGTCAGCATTAGGCCCATAAACATTCCTAATCTCGACATATTAAGCCCTTTAACACATCCTACAATAAAGATTTCTCCATGGTAAAGAAATCCTCATCCCAGTAGCTCAATAGGCTCCCTGAATTCCCAATTACAGGTGATAATGTCCACCCTAGACTTTTATTTCCCCACAGACTTGCGATTGTCCTCTAAAAAAGCTCTGGACTCTTAGTTTCCTTAACAAGTAGGAACTTAGGGTTGTGGGTGGCAACCAGATTATTAATGCTTTCTTTTTCTTTGGTCTGCCCATAGCTTTAACTTTCCAAGAAATGGCCAACATTAATAAAACAAAAAGTAAGCCCTGGTAAGAAGACATACCTCTTAGTTCCCATGACGTCTCTTTTTTTTTTCAATTCCTCAAGCTCCATGGTAGCAAACGTCCTAGTTATGGTTTGTCTATCATGCTTATAGGCCATACCTAATTGGACTCCTACTTCGTACGTTTCTTCTGCCTCCTTCAATATTATCACGTTACGATGCTAAATGCCTTCATCTATAATTCCCTTTTCTCTCTGGTTTGATGTGTCTCCAATCTAATTGCCCATATTTTCTTGACATCTTGTCTTGTCTGTGCTATCATGGTTGACATTGTTTCCTACAACTTGAGCCCTTATAGTTGACGTCTCCCCTATTTCTCTGATCGATTTCCCTGTGTTTTTCTTCTCCACCACTATAACTTTATCTTTCTCCCTTGTGTTCCTTTCGTTTTGTTGTTCTTCCTTTCTACCTTCCTTACCCAGTCCAACCTTTCTCACTCGTCTTTGATTCATCGCAATTACTGCTTTCGAGCTTAGTCTTTGAAGGTTTGAAAAGCTTAACTTGCTTTCTTCTTTCCTTTTTTGGATCTCCACCATTAAGTCTGAATATGTTCTCCCCCTTTCATGCACAATCCTAAATTTTTTTGCCCTTTCCAATTTGTGGTTTTCTTCTTATCTTTTTTTGCCCTCTCTTGGGTTAATCACATACCTCCCCCTGCTAGCTCTTCTAGACTTAGCTTTCTAAGTCATTTATACATGGATCCTCCCTTTGATTCCATAGTTCCCACTCCTCTCTAATTGTTGACCTAAGCTTTAGGTGTTGACCTAAGCTTTAGGCCCTACTTTGCAGGTTTTTTCCTTTAGAGATATAACCTCTTTTTGGTGGCCTATCTCCACAGGTAGCCCATTTCCATGGTTTCTGCAGGTCCAAGCTAGTATCATGCTAATATGCAAGTGAATCCATGTTTTATTAATATTTTTATTTTGAATTAAAATTGAGATTAAGTAATTGATTAAAATATTATATAATAATATTTAATCCTGGCCTTTTTGCAAGTTCAAGTCAATATCAGTAAATGAATCTAGATTTTATTAGTATTTTCATTTTAAATTAAAATTAGGGTTGAGTGGTTGATTAAACTATTATATATATGGTATTTAATTCTTGTATTCTTTCATGTTTAAGTCAATATCATACTAATATGCAAATGAATCCAAGTTTTATTAGTACTTTTATTTTGAATAAAAATTAAGATTAAGTGATTAATTAAAATATTATATATAATATATAATTCTTATCTTCTTGCAGGTCCAAGTCAATATCATGCTAATATGCAAGCGAATTCATGTTTTGTTGCTATTTTCATTTTAAATTAAAATTAAGATTTAGTGGTTTATTAAACTATTATATATATAGTATTTAATTCTTACGTTTTTTTAGGTCCAAGTTTATATCATGCTAAATTGAAATTAAGATTCAATAATTGATCAAAATATATTATATAATATTTAATTCTTGCCTTCTTGTAGGTCCTAGTCAATATTATGGTCATATGCAAGCGAATCCAGGTCTTATTAGTATTTTCACTTTGAATTAAAATTAAGATTGAGTGATGGGATTAAAATAATAAATAATACTTAATTCTTGCCTTCTTGCCTTCTTGCAGGTCTAAGTCAATATCAAGTCAATCTGCCAGGGAATCCAGGTTTTATTAATATTTTCATTTTGACTTAAAATTTGGATTGAGTGATTTATTGAAATATAATATATACATAATATTTAATTATTGCCTTCTCGTAGTTCCAAGTCAATATCATGCTTACATGCAAGTAAATTAGGGTTTTATTTTGAATTAAAATTAGGAATATCTATATATATATATATATATGAAATATTTCTTCTTCTAGCAGTTCTAAGTCAATATAGAGCTAATCTTCAAGTTATTCTAGGCTTTATCTCATTCTGAATCAAAATTAAGAATGAGTGAAATGTTTTGGTTAATTTTAGTATTTAATATGTATAAAATAAATGTTATTGATATGTATATATCAGGTAAATATTAGAACTATATATCTAATATAGATAGAAGATAGATTTCATTCATTCTTTATACGTCCAAATCAATATCAAGCAGTGTTAGTTTTTGGATCAAAATTAGGATTAAGTTTGGTTTTTAACTTGATCACTTGGTTGAATCAAATGATGAACTCTTTTCCTTGAATTTTTTGATGCAAGAATTTTCTTTTATTTTTTTTCAAACATTTGTGCCGTAAAAGATGGATACAACGGACAAGAGTTTACGACAGCAGGCAGCCCACGACTTTTCCCTAATTGACCTCTCCTACACCAAGGTCTGACGGTTGTTTGCTTTCGCTAGGTACACCAGTTGCTATCCCTGGGACTAATAATGCAGTAGAACAGTCCGGCAATGAAACCAATAATTTATCGGAAGCCGCTATCAGATCTAAAAGGCACCGGGTCAAAAAAAAGGTGAGAACTACAAAACTTTCTCCGTTAGATTATCCATTCTGAGTCTGATTGGTTTTTGAAATTAGTAGTGGTATCTTTTTAATCATAGAGGAGTATATTCTCAATTGATAAGATTATTTAGACAACAACAATATAATTCATCAGCAATATAGTCTACTTAGTTTAGTGTGGTTATATATTACTTCTGCAACTTGCATTTAATTTACCAAAGCAAAACGTTGAAGAAAGAGTTTTTGCGTACGAAAAGTAAATATTTTAAAATCTTTTATTAAAGTGGATACTTTTTGAGTATTTTTTTTTTAAGAGCTGATAGTCATTTCATTTCATTAGAATACAAAAAATGCAACTAGCAAGGAGGACATTTAACCTCCATCCACCAAGAAACAAGCCTGCGGAGTAAAAAAAAGTTCCTTTTGCAGAAGAGTAGATCAGCTTGCAAACCCTAATAAAATCTCCATTTACAACCTTCCAACAAGCACAAGAGGTTAACATAACCTCATTCAACCACTCAGAAGATCTAGCCATACAAAACAACAAAAATAAAACCCTTGTGGCTGTACAGCTTGTACAATTCGTCACAAGCTTTTCTCAATAAACCCATACACAAAAAAAAAAAAAAAGGAAAATTCCCCTATTCATGAAGCCGTCTATTAATTGCATTTTTTGGTGCAGCATTCGAGCCAACATACCCACCTGAACTGCTGCAACATGTTGCCCCCATAAAAAACCTGCATACAACAAAACATTGCAGCCACCGCCACAACCTATACAATCAAACCCAAAAAACCATGAATTAAAGGGACTCCAACCCCTGCGGTCTTTCGTCAACATCATTAACAACCCATATTAGATCATCTCTTCTTTCAACCTTAGTTTTAGTTAATTGGTCAGCAAACTCATTTGTAGCTCTTGGGATTTTCTTGAAGCTCCAATCATGCAACTTAGTTTTATAGACTTCCATTTGTATCAAAATACTTCTCATTTTTTTATGTAGAAAATACCTAAGATCTAAATAAAGAACGAAATTGCTTGATGAAAATAAAAGACTACCTAAGGGGCTATTTATAATAACTAACTAGACCTAAACTTATTTGGTGTGCACGTAAAGTAAATAACAAATAAGAAATTGTTCTAACCTTAGACTTCTTTAGAGTACAAGTAAAGTAAAAAGAAAATAGGAAAGTATTACATAAGAAAATATTCTCCCTAAGATATTCTCTCCATGACTTGAGGAACTCATATATTTCATAATAGCCTCCTTTAAGTCGGTGTAGGTGATGGGTTTGGACTCCACAGAGCTTGCCATTGATATTGTGGATATCCACCTTGTATCTCCCTCAAGTAAGTAAAGAGTGAACCCCTATATGGTTTAGTAGTAAGTTGAATGTTTCAACACTGAGTCTCTTGGTTAACAAATCTATAAGTTGATTATGTGAGGGAACAAAATTGAGAGCTAAGAGCTTTCATTGAACGTGTTCTTTGAGAAAATGATAATCAAGCTTGATATGTTTAATTCGTTCATGAAAGACTAGATTGGATGCAATGTGTATGGTTGACTTGTTATCACAGAATAGAGGAATGGTTTTGTAATAATAAAGGACAGATCTTTTAAAACATTACGTACCAAACCAGTTCTGTAGTGTCACTGCCATTGTTCGATATTCAACTTTAGTTCATGATATAGATATTGTTTGTTGCTTCTTTGATTTCCACTAAGGGGAGTGTCTCCTAGAAAAATAAGCATTCCTGAAACTGAATGCATAGTAGTTAGACAAGTAGGCTAATTTGAGTTACAATATGCTTTCAACTTAAGTGAGTTCATACTGGAATAAAAAAGACCATGGCCAGGAGATCTCTTGATATATCGGACCAATCTTTTTTCCATAGCAAAATGAGGAGCTTTTGGTGCTTGTGTGAATTGGCTTATAACTTGTACAACATAAGAGATGTTCGATCGAGTCACTATCAAATAGATTAATGTCCTTACAAGTCTCCAGTATATAGTCACATGCTCAAGTAAGTTCCTTATCTCACTAGATAAATTGTGTTGTTCTGGAATTGATGTTTGCACCATCTTTGGATCTTCGAGACTTTCTTATTGGATAATATCTCCTGCATATTTGTGCTGATTCACATAGATTCCATATTGATTCCTTTTAACCTCTAATCCTAAACAATAATGGAGGGTCTTCGGTCTTTTATTTTGAAACTAGTTTGGAAGTATATCTTAAATTGTGTACATTTATCTCCATTATTCCCAACAAGTATAAGATCATCTACAAAGATTAATATTGTCAATAAACCATCCCAGTATGAAAGTGTGAATAGTGAGTGATCCCATGGACTTTGTTTAAAACCATAATTAAGAAAAGAAATGGAGAGTTTTCCAAACCACTGTGGTGGTGCTAGTTTAAGTCCATATAAAGACTTATGTAGGTTACAAACTAGTGAATCATTATGAACTTCCATACCTTGAAGAGGTTTTATGAGTACTTTTTCATTGAGTTAGATTTTTGCGATCTACTTTTTTGATAATATCTCCTGCATATTTATATTGATTCACATAGTTTCCATCTTGATTCCTTTTAGCATCTAACCCTAAAAATAATGCAAGGGCCTAGGTTTTTTATTTTGAAACAAGTTGGAAATATTTTTTAAATTGTGTACATTTATCTCTATTATTCCCAACAAGTATAAGATCATCCACGTAGATTAATACTGCTAAGAAATTATCCTTATATGAAAGTGCGAATAGTGAGTGATCCTATGGACTTTATTTAAAACCATAAATAAGAAGAGAAGTGGAGAGTTTTCCAAACCATTGTGGTGGTGCTTATTTGAGTCCATATAATGACTTATGCAACTTACAAACTAGTGAGTCATTAGGAACTTCTATACCTTAAGGAGGTTTCATGAATACTTATTCATTGAGTTGGATCTCTGAAACCTACTTCTTTGATAATATCTCTTTCATATTTGTGCTAATTCATATAGATTTCATCTTGATTCCTTTTAACCTCTAACCCTAGAAAATAATGTAAGGGTCCTAGATCTTTTATTTTGAAACAAGTTTGAAAATATTTTTTAAATTGTGTACATTTATCTCCATTATTCCCGACAAGTATAAGATTATATACATAGATTAACACTACTAAGAAGCTATCCCTATATGAAAGTGTGAATAGTGAGTGATTCCATTGACTTTGTTTGAGACTATAATTGAGGAAAGAAGTAGAAAGTTTTCCAAACCATTGTGGTAATGCTTGTGTGAGTCCATATAAGGACTTATGCAACTTACAAACTAGTGAATCATTAGGAACTTCCATACCTTGAGGAGGTTTCATGAATACTTCTTCATTGAGTTCCCTATGTAAAAAAGCATTGTGAACATCCATTTGATGTAGTTTTCACCTTTTAATTGCTAAAATAGCTAACAAGCATTGCTCTGTGGTGAATTTAGCCACTAGAGCAAATGTTTCATTATAGTTGACTTCCTCTAGTGTAACCCTTTGCAACTAATCAAGCTTTGTACTTTTCAATTTTTCCATCGGCTCTTTATTTAATTTTAAATACCCATTTCCTTCCAATTGCCCTTTTTCTTTTTGGTAAGGGAATTAGGCTCCATGTATTGTTCAATGGAAGAGCTTTTAGCTCTTTATTCATTGCTTCTTTCTACATTGAATTTTTGACAGCATTCTCATAAGTATCTAGCTCAAGATTCACTTCGTATAATTGGTTGATAGGAAGGGTAGACTTAGTTGGGGGGTTTATAATCTTCTTGCAAGTCATTATATAATCTTCAAATTTTTGTGGCATTCTTTTTTTTCTTTATGGCCTTGAGTTCACAACTATCATTTCTTTGTCAATTGCATCATTTTTGGCTTCAAGGTCAGATTCTCTCATGTCTTCTTCCTTTTTCCTAATTGAGTCTCCTACATCTTCAAGTTGATTTTTCAATCTCAAAGCATTTACCCAAATTTTATTTTTTCCTTCAAAATAGTAGTGCCCTTGTCCATTTCACTTACTCGAATTAGCCTTTTGGTGACAAGGTCCAACAAAGTTGATAGTGGGAGTTCCTTGTTTGTCTTCGTCAAGTATTGCCATGATTTAATCAAATTGAGTTTGAGATAACCTTGTAGGATTTAGAATAATTTGCTGTTGATTTGTTTATTGTTGGAAATGCATGTCCTTTCCTTTGGTTTCTGTGGCTGCTGCATTGATGGCTGTCTTTACTTGAAAATTTTTTTTCTTCCTTGCCAATTTGGTGGATATCCTACAATCTCAAAATATTTTTCTTTTATGTGACATGTTTTCTTGTTGTGTTCACATTTGGGTCTCCTGTTTGGATCTTGATTCTTTTCTCTAGCATATACTTTGAATGTTATTGCCTCTAAAATTGGCCTTGCCACGACAGTTGTTCTGAACTCAATAAAGAATAAGCAATTGTTAAATATGGTAATGGATCTTTACAAAGAATATTCAATCTTATAACAACATAGGAATCATTCAATTCCATTACGAATTGATGCAATTTTTCTTTTTCTTTTTCCTTGGCCAAGACTCTACATGTACAACTCCTACCTCTTCGTCCATGAGACTTGGAACAACTTTTAAGTTGATCCCAAAGTCCATTCATTTTTGTATAGTAAGCTAAGATTATCAATTCACCTTGTCTAGTGTTAATTATTTTTCTTTTCAATTCTTGAATTCAATGTCTACTTTCTTGTGAAAACCTCTCTTTCAAATCTCTCCAGATGTCATAGGTAGAGTCATGATCTGCAACACTATTATGTAACTCCTTATTGAGTGAGTTTAACAACCATGCTACTGCCATAGCATTACAAGTCAACCATTCATCCTCTTTTGGTTTTGGTAATTTCCATCCACAAATACCAATTTGTGTTTCGATCACGATGCATTAACAATAGCTTTCTTCCATGTTGAATAGTTGGGCCCTTTTAATGCATGGGATATCAATAAATCACCTAGTCTATCAGAAT